TCTCAGAGCTCCATCAATAGCTTAAGATTTCGAAATACTTCAGTAACCTATCAAGACAGACAGGCATTCAGCATGCAGACTTAGTAGGCAGCTTTACAGTGGCAAGGCTGGATTCTTTCCTGTTCGATTAGGTACAAAAGAACAGTTAACAAAAGAAAATGAAGAGTGGAAGCAAAAGAGCAGTTCATTGGAGGAGCAGAAGACTGAATTGGAGGTGCGAATGAGTGCACTCAAATCCCAGTATGAAGGTCGAATCTGCCGTCTAGAAAGAGAGCTTAGAGAGCAGCAGGAGCGACACCACGAACAGCGAGACGAGCCGCCAGAGTCTACAAACAAGGTACAAAATCGTTTTAGCTGTGGGAGAGGAAACAAACTGCTCACGTCTCATGACTGAATGAGAGCAACAGCTCTTAGTACAAGCACCACTGTCCAGCTTGGTTTGGTTTTTTGGATACAGTAGTTAGGATTACTTTACGTGACAGTGGGGTTTTTTTAAACCCTAAATTGCAGATGGAAATTCTTGTCATAGGATTCCTACACTTTTTTTTAAATAAATAAATTAATTAAAAAAATACTAATGAGCCCAACAAACTGTGTGCTGTTCAAGTTCCACTGTCCCCTGGTTTTGGGAATATACAAGTTGGCTTTAGTAAGGGTTCAGAACTTAATTTAAAAAGTTATTTCCTGCCATAGTGTGAATTCCCAGTGCTAACAAGCATACATGTTCCATCATTCACTGTGAATCAGCCAATGAACTGTTTGCACTCAGCTCTATTTTTGCATTTTTACCCATGTGTTCAGTGTAATGGGTTCTACCTGCTGTTGTCTCAGTAGCTTCAGGAGACACCTGAGAAATTACTGAACTGGTTTACATATTTGGTATCACTGGTATGATTTGTTTTGGAAAATTTGCAATAGTCATGGAGTCTGGCTGGGTCTGCTAGCAACTCTGTTAGAGAAACGATGATTAGTAGAGAGATCTGTATTTTACCAAATTGTTCGCTCTGTTTTGTTTGTACATGGCATGATACTTCTGTTTCTTATGTAATAGGTCCCAGAACAGCAGAGACAAATCTCACTCAAGTCTACTCCAGCTTCAGGTGAAAGAGGAATGTGAGTTGAAGGGTTCGGGGGTTTTGCAGATTTTATGTTGTTGGTGTTTCTTGGTTTTCTCTTTATCTAGTTGCTCTTCTATTTGGTAAACCACTGGCTTTTCACAGTTTTTCTTAAGCAACTTTGAAGATACTGATTGACATATGTTCCTCCTGTTTTCTTAGCTACATTTAATCAATAAAGCTTTTAAACTGTTAAATTGTCATATTAACCGCCAGGAACATGGTATCTGGGAATACATAAAAGGTTTTTTAAAATGTTTTCAGACTTGAAGATTCTTGAAGTTGTGTTACCTTTAACCTTTTTGGTTTTATGGGGGGATCTTCCTTGAGCAAGAATCTCAAACATGAGAAACAAACTAAATAGATGGTGGCTCTAACAACAGATAAAATAGTCAAATGACTAAGCTCTGAAATGAGAAATGTTACTGGATTACTAAGCTTAGATAACTAACTCCCTTTCAGTTTTTGTGACGGCATCCATTGAGAGCAAGGCTTTCAAAAATGCCTCTTAAAACTTGGCTGATCTTTGTCTCAACCAAGAGATGATGTTGCTCTGTATTCAGTGAATCAGTGAGTTTTAATGTAAGATGTATTGCTCACTGTAATAAAGACCCAGCACAGCTAATAGTATGAGCTATGCGCTACTCCTTTTGATCTGCTTGTAGATTTCTAGTTGATGTCCTTTGAAGAAACCTGTCAAATCTCTAAGCTGGACAAAATGCTACTGATGGCAGAGTGGGTCTGTCGTTCTTTTTTTAACTATAAACAAACTTTGGAAGACAATTCATTATGCCCTTGTCACGCTTTTACATTTTAAACCTTTAAAAATTAGTACTTCTGGCTAAGATAATGTATTTACATTCAGTATTTTTAAAATCTGCTTTCTGCACTACCGTGATGAAACCAACATCCTGTTTTTCAGTGCAAGCACTTCCGATCCGCCAACAGCAAACATTAAACCAACTCCTGTTGTGTCAACTCCAAGTAAAGTGAGTGCTGCTGCAATAGCTGGGAATAAGTCTACTCCAAGAGCCAGTATCCGTCCAATGGTTACTCCTGCTACAGTCACTAATCCTACCACTACTCCAACAGCCACAGTTATGCCCACGACACAAGTGGAGACTCAGGAAGGTGAGCATTTTAGTATAGTATGAGGACCTACAGTAATCATAAATGCTACCTTTGCCTTGAAATCTCAGTAGTTATTAGTTTGAAAGTACCTCAAATAGTTTTATTGTCCCTGCATCTCTTTCAATATTGCACTTTTGTGACCACTTCCATTGCAACCAAGTTCCTGATTCCCCAACTGCAGATGGGTATCAGCAATGTTAACTCAATCTGCAAAACACTGAATCTGCTTATTTCGGGCCGTCTGCAACGGAGAATGTGAACTGTACTGGACAATATGAAGACAGTTGAATGTGCTACTGTTTGCCTTTCAGCTATGCAGTCAGAAGGACCTGTGGAGCACGTTCCAGTCTTTGGAAGCACTAGTGGGTCTGTGCGTTCCACCAGTCCTAATGTTCAGACATCTCTCTCTCAGCCCATCCTGACTGTTCAGCAGCAGACTCAAGCGACTGCTTTTGTGCAGCCCACTCAGCAAAGTCATCCTCAGATTGAGCCCGCTAATCAGGAGCCATCCCCTGCCATTGTAGAAGTTGTACAGAGCTCTCAAATAGAGAGGCCCTCCACTTCTACAGCAGTGTTTGGCACAGGTTGGTTTTATTTTATAGGCCTACCTTTTTGAATAGTTCCTTTTAAGTAGCTCCATTTGGACCCTTGTTAAACCGGGCCTAACTTCAGCAAAAGAATTTGCTCTCTTCCCCCCCCCCACCTTAGTGTATTGCACGTTTTACAAACTTCTGAGGTTAGACTCCTTCAGAATGGCACCTCTGAAATGCTGTTGTCACTGCATTCCTTAAAGTAGAAAATAAAAACTCATGTGTTTGTTTATTCAGAGCAGCATTGGAGTTTACACTAAACCTTGCTGCCTCTGTTTCCGTGATACTGTTGGAGGAAGGTTAATGTTAGGAGTCATGAGTAAGCAACTTATGCTGAAGTATGAAATACAGAGAACTCTAAAGCTACTCAGTGTGATACGCTGTTGCACATCTGTTTGCCCTACGTAGTGTAGATTTTAAGCATGTTTATTCCCCAAAATACGCTTTGGTAAGCTGCTTCTTTTGTTTCCCAGCTGCTACTCTGTTAAACTTTTAGGTCTACTTGTCAGAAGCAAAGAAGTTGGAAAAAATTTTTCCATTGTACCCTGAAGCTTATGCTTGGGGTCAGTTAGGTTGTGCATATAGGCCCAAGGGCATGAGACTTGTAACAAAAGGGGCTAACGTTTTCATGTCCTAGGAAACGGCACAAGGTGATTCTGTCTGATTCTATTTGTTATCATTCAATGCAGAAAAAGAGGCGATCTTCCAGAGTAAAATACCAAACCTTTTGATTTTCTGTTTTGCCCATTTGTTGTTCTGAAAATAACTGAGAGGCTCTTTTAAGTTTCAGCTACCCCAAGTTCTTCTCTATCTAAACGTCCACGAGAGGAAGAGGAGGACAACACTGTGGAAAACTCAGACCAAATTTCAGAGGAAACAGTGGACGTACCTCTTCCAAAGAAACTGAGAAGCATACAGAGAGTTGGACCTGAGGTTTGTGAGAATATAAAATGCTACTACTTAATCTGTCACTTTGGAAGATTTTAATGGGAAGAGGCAGTGCATTAATTACTTCAGAGCAAGTCAGTTAATTCTTAACGTAACTTTTTAATCTATTGAGGAGGAAGCAGTTATTTTTGGATGTTGTAAAAGGCAGAGGTTTTACCAGTTGCAGTGAGTGATGCAAATCTTAGTGAACTGTAGGATGGAAGAGAAGGGGCCGCATTCTAGCACTGAGGAGGAAGTGAATTTTTCAATGTGGTCGGGGAGGTCATTGTCTACAGTTATTCTGGAATGAAGTACAGTGTGCTTCAGGAGACGCTAGGGAAGCAAAGATGAGGTGTTCCATGGAAAACCTTGGAAGAGACGCATGTGATATATTGGTGTGAGGGAATTGGGATATCCTGCAAGAAAGGAATGAACTTGAGACAGAACCTCACAGCAGGCAATTCATGAACAATGTTAAGGAAGTCAAAGATATTTTTTTAACTCTATACGAGGGGGATGTTCCATAACATAAAAGGGTGAGGTTGTGTCTGATCATTATCACTTAATTAGCTGAGCAGATGGAGGTGCAATGGGAAACCCTGAGGGTTGTTTTTTCTGGTCCTGGAAGGGTTTAGAGACACTGAGTAGAGTGGGTCCAATGGACTGGAATGGGGAAATTGTATTTCTCCAGGGCACAGAAATTTGAGGTGCTGGATAAAAGCAGAGCTAAGGAGTAGTAGTAAAAGGGGAACAAAATGTTGCCCGTGATCTTTGTGGGAAAAGATAATTTTTTTTTAAAAAAGTAAACACTTAAAGAATCGAACTTTAGGATTAATGATGTGTTTTAAACAAGAAAAAAAATATGTTCTTTCAGGAGGAAGTGACAGCAGAAGAGAGCACTGATGGTGAGGTAGAAGCTCAAACATACAATCAGGACTCACAGGACTCAATTGGAGAAGTAAGCATATTTCAAAAGAAAAAAAAATCTTCGTTTCAGCATGTTCAGTATGTTTAGAAATGAAATCTCAGATCTTGCAGATTTCCAGTGGAAGAAACCTCTTATAACCATTTAAAGTTTAGACTTCACATGTTCAAGGATACTCAATTTTCATTGCGCTCTGCAGTTACCTATATAAGTAAAATTCAGAATGTTAATGAAGCTTTGCAATTGTAATTCAGTGTGGTGTCCTGGTATCCTTAACCCCAGTTTTATATAGTGAAACTGAGGTGTAGAGGTTAAATGAGTCACAGTTGTAAAATGGAATTGGAGTTTTCAGTTCTTCGCTTATTCTCTTTGCTTTCTGGCTTTTCTTTTACAGAAAGATTTGATAAATCCTTGAGCAAGCTTAATGTTAGATGGCTCATGATGTGATAAACAAAGGAAAAAAGTTGGTTTTGTTCTAGTTCTGTAAAAGGCCTATTGTAGCTGTGTTACGAAGGCCAAATATGAGTGAAAACCATTAATTTAATCTCCTTTCACCTCAGCAATGAGCAGAAGTTAAGGTAATTCTCTACCTTGGCAGAACCTCATGTTGAATCATGGAATCTATTTTCTTTAAGCATTGGTGGGTACAGAGTCTGTAGTCAGTCATTTTTTTTCCCTCAACCTTCACATATTTAAAAGGTATGACCAACGTTTATCTCCCCATGAAATCCCAGGTGTGTGCTTTCTGTTCCACAGGAATCTTCAAATGTTCTTTAACAATTCTAGTTCTCAATGTGGTTACTTAAATTCTGCTGCTAGACAGCAATTTGCAACATTAAAGTGACATGTTCAGAAAATAATAGAACCTAGTTATCGTACCTAAATCAAAAGTCTAGAATGCTACAAAATGTATGTGGTAGAGTCCCAAATTTTTTTTTTTTTAAGAGGTTGTGGGAGACACTCTCTAAAGTTGTTTTGTTGTTTGTTTTTTTTCCTGAACACTACTAGTCATACTTTCCAGATTCGGTTCAAATGTTTTGAATATACGTATGTGCTGAATGGAAAGATAACTGTTTGCTAGCTCTGTGTCTGGCTATCGTGTGAATTGCATTACTGTTCCTCCAGAGCAAAAACAGCAGCTCAGAGTTCGTGCTTAGAAGAGAGATGGTTGTTCCTTGATCCTGGAGAGACTTCTAGTTGTCTGTAGTTGATTGCTGGCAATCATCTGTAGCGTTCTCTTTTGTCCTCTCCTGAAGTAGATGGGTAAACATTTAGAGGGCAGCTTTTTAAGGATGTGCATTCAAATGCATCGTATATGAATACAGTATCGCTAGTGATGGCACCTGTGCCAAATCAGGTTTGGAAGTGTGCTTGTGTTGTAGAGCAGGCCTCCGTTTGGTCGACATGGAAACAGGAAATTCTTAGAAATACAATAGACATTTTCCTGAAGAGCGTTCTAAGAATAGTATATATGTACTGCATTTCATTTTGTTTCTTCTGGTAATTTATTTTATCTTTTACAGGGTGTTACACAGGGAGAGTACACTCCCATGGAGGATAGTGAAGAAACTTCCCAGTCTATCCCAATAGATCTTGGGCCTCTTCAGTCAGATCAACAAAACACTTCTTCATCTCAGGATGGTCAGTCCAAAAGAGATGATGTCATTGTAATTGATAGTGATGATGAAGATGATGATGATGAAGAAAATGAAGGGGAGCAGGAAGTATGTATATCATGGAATTACTTTATGGACTACTTTGTCTATGATTTGGTCTTTGATCAGATGGAAAGCTCAGCTGGCAGGGTTAATTTAATAATTTTAATTTTTTTACTGTATAAATAGTCTGTATTTGATGTAGTCTGAATTCTAGTGTTTTTTTAAAGATACTTGCTAATTCAGCTTGATTTTTTTGAAGTCATAACATTTCATTGTACCTCCTAGATTGTCTATGAGTATTCAACATACAAGGGTGGCCTCTGTGAGGAGAGGCTGGGGCTGCCCCGTGCCAGGGACAGCCTCTTCCAGCTGGCTCCGCAGCGGCCCCACTGTGGGACACGGCTGAGCCCATCAGCTGGTGGAAACATATATAAGAAAGAGCAAAATGCTGCATGGCAGTGCTAGTGTGAGGAGGGGAGGGGGAAAAAATGTGAGAAACAATCCTGCAAACACCGAGGTTGGAGAAGAATGACAGGGAGGAGGTGCTGCAGGCATTGGAGCAGATACTCCTTGTAGGCCATGGAAGAGACCACAATGGAGCGGGTATTTCCCTGCAGCCAGTGGAGAGGACCATGGTGCTGCAGGTGGGTACTCCCTGAAGGAAACTGCAGCCCATGGGTGACCAGGCTCTACTGCCAGGGACTGTGGCCCATGGAGAGGAGCCAGTGCAGGAGCAGGTTTATCCTGAAGGATGAAGGTTTATTCCCTTCAGTGGGAATGACCTGCTGCTAGAGTAGTTCTGGAAGGACTGTGGAGAGGACCGCGCTGGAGCAGGGGGAAAAGCGTGAGAAGGGAGGAGTAGCAGAAAGAAACTGACTACAACCCCCATTCCTTGTCCCCTCTGCCCTGCCTGGGGTTGCGGAGGAGGAAGAGGAGTTGGGAATGAGGGAGAGAAGTTAGGCCTTGAAAAGAAGAAGGGGGTGGCGGGAGGGTTTGGGTTTTGTTTTGTTTCTGGTTTTTGTCTGTTTCTCACTATCCAACTCTTGTTCGTTGCCAATTAAAAATAAATTTCCCCAAGTTGAGTCTGGTTTGCCCATAATGGTAATTGGTAAGTGATCTGCCTGCCTTTATCTTGGCCCTCAAGCTTTTCCATCTTATTTTCTACCCTTTTCCTGTTGAAGAGGGAGTGAGGGAGTGGCTGGGGGGATTGGCAGCCTACCACAGCAATCGAAAAATATGTACGTCTACTCTGTGGATAATAAATGCTGAACACCTTCAGAAAGAGATCCACAGGCAGGTGGTGCGTGTACAACAACGTGAAGTTTCCAGCTTCAACCTGTGAAGTGATTCCACTACCCTTTCCACACTTCCTCAAAGCTGTTTTATGGTCTTATCATAGGACTATGTTTATGGTCTGTTTTATGGTCTTATCATAGGACTATGAGGACGAGGAAGAGGAAGATGAGGATGATGACGAAGACACGGGGATGGGAGACGAAGGTGATGACAGTAATGAGGGAACTGGTAGTGCTGATGGTAATGATGGATATGAAGCAGATGATGCTGAGGTGAGATTTGTACCTTTTTTTTAGAATGGATTGATGTTGTAATGCATCTGTACAGATTTGAATACTTGAAAGAGAAAATCTGAGTATGAGTTCATCCCAGAAAATTGAGTCTGCTAGTAGGAAAATGCAATGTACCAGAGCCAGCAACAAATACTGTAGTTGCAAAGCTAGTAAGGCAGTCTTTTCAAAAGCGGGATATTTCCTTGTTTATTATTATTAAATGATGATGGCTACGTTGTCCACATTTGTGTATATATAGATATGCATTTCTGACATTTCTTTTAAGACTTTCATATATTTTACTTTGTTTACTTTCTGAATACTTTTTACTGCTTTTATATTCTCATTACACCCTATAAGTTGGTTAGTGATAAGTCATATTATGTTTATGTGGTTTTTTTAGGGTGCTGATGGTACAGATCCTGGAACAGAAACTGAGGAAAGCATGGGAGGAGGTGAAAGCAACCAGAGGGCAGCAGATTCTCAAAACAGTGGTATGGTTATTGCCTGTTTCTTCAAAGTCTGTGTCTGTAAGGGGGGAAAATGTAGAAGCTGTTCTGCATGTGTTAAATATGCACTAAAGACCTTTTCAACCTGAAAAGTAGATTCTTTTGAAATACTCTTTTCTGGATATATTCTACATTCCTTTGAAAACCCTGCAATGGGTTTACTCCTCGATACTTCTGTGTGTTTTAGGAGAAGGGAGCACAAGTGCTGCAGAGTCCACTTTTCCTCATGAGAGTTCAAGAGAACAGCAGCCATCATCTGCCTCAGAGCGACAGGCCCCTCGCCCCCCACAGTCACCACGCAGACCACCGCATCCGCTGCCCCCAAGACTGACTATTCATGCTCCTCCTCAAGAACTGGGTCCCCCAGTACAGGTATAAACTGTCTAGCGGTTCTGAAGACCTAAATTACTGTATGATTTCTTCTAAATAAAACCTAAGTACTCTGCCTATTGTAAAAATAGATGACATCTCATCCTAAAAATGGTAGCTGAGCAGACTGATTTAACATGTCTCGTCCTGCCGATAAGCGCTGGACGGGGAACATGGAAAGCAGTAAGGCACTGATAGTGGATTTATGTCTTGAAATTATTATCCCAGGGTTGTTTCGGTCACTGACTGCTGGTATTTCCACTACAAAAGCTGTTCCTGAGCAGGTTGTAACTCAGACAGATTGGCAGGGGGTTGTATTAGGCTCTGCCCCAATGCAGATTGGGCAAAGGAATGTTGCCATTCGTTTTCAGAGTTAAACCTTTCACAGTCAGCACCTGACCCTGTGATTATGCTTTGACATAGACCTATCAATTTTGTAAATGAAAACATCACAACCGGAATTTTGCAAAAATGTCCTGACTGAAATTATCCTTTACTATTAGCTTGTTCTGAGGCTTGGGAACACCATATTTCTGTGTTCAAGTTTTCTGTCCTCTGTAGAAAGTTGAGTAAAATAGTAATGTCACTTACCCAGAATTTAAACCTACATGATTCTCTTTTGTGGTTAGACCAGGCAGCAGATAGGAGATGTGGAGTAGCTGCTGCCATGGTCTGTTCTTTAAGAGGGTATGATGCTGTACTGAGCAGTGTTGTACGCTGATATAGAATTGTTACACTTACTCATTTAGCTGCTATCCTTGGCTCTGATTGAACAATTGTATGTTATCAGAGTGCCAGGAAAGTGTTCACACTTCATTTTTTCTTTACTGTAAAGAGAATCCAGATGACTCGAAGACAATCAGTGGGGCGTGGACTTCAGCTAACTCCTGGTATAGGTGGGATGGTAAGTCTATGAAAGTTTACTACTAAAAACCTGCATTGAGGGAACATTCGTAACTCTTGAGATTTACTTTGTTTTTTAATGAAGTCTAGCTACTGCCTTCAGGGGTGGTATGGTTTCTGTGTAGCCTTGCAGGTAATATCCTAGTCCTGATCATTTCTGTATTAATGGCAGGCAAATGCTAGAAAAGTCCCAGGAAGCTAAAGCTCTTCAAAGGACGTTGAATTGGTTTTGTCCAAGATGATTTTAATTACTTGTTTTTAGAATTAATCTTTTAAAGTGGATATGTTACTAGAAAAAATAATAAAATGTGTTCAGCCTCATCCTGGAGGAACAAGGCTAATTTATGCTTTCTGTCTCATTCGGCTAATTTTGAACCCTTTATTCAACCTCAGCTGTATTTGACAGAATGAATGCTAGTTCAGTAAGGGAGGGGAGAGAGAGACCGAGTGACTAAAAAAGGTATCTTTTTTGAGTTCAAAGGCATCAGCTCAGATTTTTGATTCTGCTTGGCTTGCGTGTCACTGCCATCCAATTTCTCATTGGAACTGGCCTCAATACCTACTGCTTTTTGCCTGGACAGTAACTGAGCACAGGAGAGGGACCTCTCCCTCAGAGAAAAAGGCTTTGAAAGATACAGGAGGAAGTCAGGGAGATGAAGAGAATGTCTCATGGAGGGTGAGGGAAGAGGCAGCTGAGGTGTCTGGCTCTGTAGATAATGCAGGAACAAAGGACACAAGTCTGTAGGGAACAGGTGATTTGACATTGTGAAAAATCCTCTTGCTAGGTATATGAAAGCAATCCGGATTAAGACCAATGATTCCTATCTATTTATGAATGAGTCACCCTCAGATTCCTTTGTAGTCAACAGGGACAGGTGGCACTTTGGTAGGATGGTCTCACGGAGTAGATGTCTAAAAATCCTTTGAAAGATAGGTGCCTTGTGAGCATGTGCACTTTATTTTGGTTTGGGTTTGGTTTTTTTATCGCCTGTAAGGGCAATCTTTAGAACTAGCTCAGATTTACACGTCTGAAATTAGACAAGAATTTTGTTCAAGCTAAATCTATCTTTGTTTTGCTGGACAATATGGAATAAGCAAACCAACCTTTAACTTGGCTTGATAGAAACTGGAAATACATCGTAGGCTCTCATATCTGTCTCTTTTTTACCAGCAGCAACACTTCTTTGATGATGAGGACAGAACAGTTCCAAGCACACCAACTCTTGTAGTTCCACATCGTACAGATGGGTTTGCAGAAGCCATTCAGTAAGTAGATGTAAAGGAGAAAGAAAAAAGAAGAAAAAAAAAAAAGGCATCTATTTCTTTCTATTTTTCAGTAGAACGTAATAAATTCAAATGAAATGAACTTGTGATTGGAGTAACATGCTAAAACATGCTATGTTGTGTGATAGATGACTGCATCTACAAATAAGTAATCATTGTTTGAACTGTATGTCATGAAACTTGGCAGCAAATTAGGAGGCAGATAATCTCCAATGTATTGTAACTTACTGATGTAAGAAGAAATTAAGCAAAAAAAAACCCACTAGGTTCTTCTATTTCAGCTCCTCCCCTGCTTCCCCACCCCCAAATTACCAATCAAAGTAGGAAGAGTTCTCTTTGGGTTTGGATTTGGGACGGGTCTGAACATGTTCAACAATTCACTTAAAATTGTGAGACTTCATAGGGTGAATAAGTAAAGAATATTCTTTTCAGGACTGTTTTACTCATTTCGGGTGCAGTCTATGTACGTTTGAGAAACTAATTGCTATTTAATTAGCAGTAGTTTAGCTGGTTTTTATGGTCAGTATTAATTCATTTTGTCTCATGCATAATTTGTTCTCTTGGTCAGAAAGTTGTGTGTGTGTGTCCTGATAATTAGAAAAACTGTAGAATTACTTATATCTTTATGTTGATAGTTCCCCCCAGGTAGCTGGAGTTCCTAGATTTAGATTTGGACCCCCTGAAGATATGCCACAAACTAGCTCAAGTCACTCTGATCTTGGTCAGCTTGCATCACAAGGAGGTAAACCATTTCTGTACTTTCTTTTCCATGGTTGTTAGAGTGAAAAATAAATAATGCAGTCAATAAAATGCAATTCTACTTCGGGTACTTGTTCAAGTGTGGAAACCTGCCACTCTTAAATAATTGTCAGCAGCCAGAGATTAATGGCAAGGATGTTTCCTTCAAGCTGCTACATTTCTACCTGTAATGTGGTTTAAAAAGTAGAGTGAGAGTGCTCCTGTGGGTGGTAACAAGAGACTTGTAAACCAGAGAACCTGAAATTTTATGTAGGGCAGATTGCCTGCTGGGCGCAAGAAACTTCATTTAAGGAGAAATGAAATACTGAAGGAATGGCTTTTAACTTTAATTTTACTGTTGATTGTAGCTTTCCTGTAGTAAAATAATAGGGGAAAACAGGAAATGCAGAGAGATCTTTGGGATGTATCCTTACCTGTAATTTGTCTGTGTTGTCTTTGCTGTGGTCCTCAATCAGTCCCTTTCCCCTGTATCCCCGTCAGCATGTGACAATAAGCTGATCTTTGAAGAAAACTTACAGCAAAGTAATGGAAAAGGATGAAAGTAAAACAAATAGAAATATTTTCATCAAGGTTTTACCCTTCAATAAATTATAATTAGCTCTGGCAGCAAGTCAAAATAGCTTAAAATAACAAAAATCTCCATATTGAGGTACAAACCACTGGGTTGCATCAAGTGTACAGAGAGAAGACGTTTAACCTGGTTTTTAGCTGGCTGTTTTAGTTGTCATTAAAACTTTGTGTTGCAGGTTTAGGAATGTATGAAACCCCACTGTTCCTTGCTCATGAGGAAGAATCAGGGGGTCGTAGCGTTCCCACAACACCATTACAAGTAGCAGCACCAGGTAAGTGGCCAGAAATTTGCAGGCTGAAGCACTGACTTTCCAGAAAAGAATTAAATGGTTGTTGCTATAGTGCTTATTGCTACGTCAGGAGGATTCAGTAGCCCTTTGCCCAGCCTGCCCAAGATTTCCATAGATTTTCTGTAGGAAATAAAAACTAACAATGTTTATTAAACTACCTTTCCTGCACAGTGACAGTTTTTACTGAAAGTGCATCAGCTGACGCTTCAGAGCATGCATCTCAGTCTGTTCCGATGGTTACGACATCTACTGGCAATCTGTCCACCACTACGGAGGCTGGAGCGGGTGATGATGGAGATGAAGTTTTTGCAGAGGCAGAATCTGAAGGGTAAACTATGACTTGTTTGGATTGCTAAGATTTGATGTCGTGTTAGTTTTAGTGATTTTTTTTATTATTATTTTTTTTTCCTTCATCTAAGTGTGCCTGTGATTCATTTTCAATTTGACCTGTTCTGGGAGGCAGGACAGCTCAAACAGGATGTAGTAATTTTGTGAAGTAGTACAATCTGTCCTTTTTGTCTAAACCCAAAGATTTTCTTCCGATTTAACATAGCTAATATAAAAGTCACAAAAAAAAAAAAAAGAAATTCTGTAGTTTTTCAGAATGCAGAGGGCTCTGTAGTAGTCAAATACTGATGGTAAAGGGCCCGGTATGAAGGACTGGGGTTTGTAGAATAACAGCTAAAGCATTCCTGTTTGTTAACAGAGAAAATCACTCCTCGTTACAAAGCAGGCATATCCAGTGAAGTCACTCAGGTAAGGCAGTGAGAGTACAAAAGAAGGAGGAGAATAAGCAGGTCTTCAGAATTTGATAGACAAATTATTTTGTCTTCCACTTTGCAAGTGCAATTTTTAATATTTATAATTATTACTATATTTTGTCTCATGATCAAATACATTACTAATGTAAAAGGGGATAGGTTATCATTTTATGATACATATTTTTATTTTTATTGATTGCATAATAATAAAAGATGTATAGTTCACAATTTACCTAAACTTTTATCTACTGATGGCAGGAGGTAGGAGGTTTGGTCATAAGAGAACGAAACGTTACTGCTGCAAGTTAAATATGCCACACAGTTTTCTTGATGTGGTACCAACTTGGACTGCAATAGTCTGCCTACGAGTAGATAAAGCATTGGATGCATATTCTAACGTTAAAGTCTCAAATTTTGTTTCTTGCAAAACCATCTAATCTTTAGTGACTTACAAGTATATCCCTAGAGGACCTGAATGGTTCAGAGAACGGTCTGTAGTTGGGAACAGGCCTTTAGCTTGATAGGAGAGCAAGTCAATCTGTTGCTAGTAGAGAGCAGGTATTTCCCACAATTTCTGAGTTTTAGTTATCATCTTCTAACGGTTTTTATTTACTAATCAGGGTAAATGAAATGTATACCAAAAAGTGAGCTGCACTGAAACTAAATTGAATGTTTGTGGGTTTTTTCCAGCCCTATAATGCTTTTTGGTTTTTGTTTTCTGAAGACAGAGTCCAAATAATTTGGGAATTGCACCAATGAGCGATCTTTAGGCGTAACCGGTCAGCGGTGGTCCCTCCACTTCATTCTTCCCCTGCCTAAACATAACCCTACCATTGCATTAGGTTTTTAGTTCTTGTTATTAAATAGCTTCTGTGAGCTTCTCTGAGAGACAATTAATATGGTGGATATGGATCTGGAGTTGGGCTGCATATCAAGGAAATTACATTGTTATTTTTCTAGAAGCCAGGTAAATATCTCATGATTGGGACAGGAGGGACATGACAACACAGAATAAAACCAGTGAAAATTTCCAGGGGAAGACATTTGCACAGGAATCTTTCTGCTCTGAGATGATGCTTTTTTTTTTCCTGAGGTTTTTGACACTGTGTGAAAACACTTGTATGTTTTTCATCCCCCTCCTCCTCTTACAGAATTACTTCAGAAGCAGGTCTAGAAATTGATAGCCAGCAAGAAGAAGAATCAGTTCAAGCATCTGATGAGTCAGATCTTCCTTCGACTAGTCAAGATCCTCCTTCTAGTTCATCTGCAGGTACGGGTTAATCGCTGGAAACAATTGTTTCATACCTTTCCATTAAGCGTGGAAACTTTTTGGACCAGCGTCATGCACTGCTGATAGCCAAGAAACACAAAATAAGATAGAACTCTTAGAGCAAGGTCACATTTTGATGCCTTTAGTCTTAATGGCAAACAATTTTTACTTGGACCACAGTAACTAGAGTAGACCACAGTTAGAATAATGCTTCAAGGAGTAAAAGTTATTGATCCTTTGGTGATTCTATCCACTATTATATGTGATGTCAGGTTTAAAAATGTGTTTTCATTCAATTAAATTGTCAAAGAACAGTAAGTAAATCACTATTCAGTTACCAGTTTACCACCTAGCCTATTTAGGTGATGAAAGAAATCCCAAGCTCACTTGTTTTGAGGCTTTTATTTATATCAGAGAAGATGTCAATGAAATAAGGATGCACCTTCATAACGTTAAAGTAAATTCAAGAGCATAATGCATATCAAATCGTGTAAACATTAACCGTGAGTAACTGTACTAGACACAGACATTCTGTCCTGCATTTCCACTTCTTCGCAGACACAAGCAGTAATCAGCCCAAGCCATTTCGGCGTGTCAGACTTCAGCCCCCGACACTGAGAACTGGTGTTCGTGGTCGTCAGTTCAACAGACAGAGGGGTAAGTGTTTGTGATTGCTCAGATTCAGACTCTTCAAAACAAGTTTTTAGCACATTCTTCCTGTGTGGACCATATTTGAAGTACTACTTTATACGCCTGTGTTTGCTTGTAAGGCATTTCATACCAGAGCATCCCTGCCCTAGCTTTCAGTGTGTTACCCTAAGAGCTCTGTATCGCCTTTTGCTATGTTAGTCCAAGCGGTTTTTAGGCAAACTTTCTTCTTGCGTGGCACTTGGTTCTTACCAGTGGAGAGAAAGTAAAGTGCAGTAGATCTTCAACTGTGCAAATTTTTAAAAGGAGATTTTAAAAAATGATCTTTGTTTTCAACATTACAGATCAGTTTCCCATTTGGTACGTAGGGATTCCAGTTATTGTCTCACTATGTCCTACACTGATTTTTTAAAAAAAAGTTTATGGCGGACTTACAGATTTTTGTAATGCAGTGTAGAGTTAAACCATGACAATAAATTATTGTTTGCAACTTTGGTATTAACAAAAATCCTTAGATGAATTATATGCAGCTTGGCATAATTTTAACATTGGAGAAGACTTGATAGTAGCATTGAAACCTACGTATCTGGTATTTTAAAGAAAAATCAAAAAGTGAGGAGGTGGACCTAGACTGGGAGGAAAATCTATCTTATTCTTTAACAACAAATGGGAAGGACTAACCGATTTCAACTATGGCAAGAGTGCTATAGTTGTTCTTTTGGTGCAGGGCCTGAGATGGGATCACAAGTCAACACCATCCTTTGAAATGACAGAAGAAGGATGTATCCGTATTGCCAGGCTCTAGGCGAGGAAGGGGGAGCTTGAATTTTACCAGAAAGGAACTGCTCTGCTGCAGTAGCAATTCGTTATGGAGGGATGAATTATCACATGTACCCATGGTTGATTAAAAGGGTGAAAAGGATTTCTATTAATGCATTTGTTTTCTTTCCCAACGCAGGTGTAACTCATGCAATGGGAGGCAGAGGCGGCCTGAACAGAGGAAATATTAGTTAAATGATCTGTGAAGTCATTACAGCTGTGTATACAAAAATGCCAGTTTGCCTGTGGTTGCTTTAGTGTAATGAAGCCAGAGCTTAAAGCAGCATTTTTTACTTAGATTTGTGTGCACACATTTCAGTGTCTTTATTAATAAAATTAGACAAAATGTCAGTATTCAAATGGCATCTTTTGTTAACATCTTCTGCTGTGCATCACTTGCTAGGACAGTTGTACCAGTCTTTGGATACCGTCTTGCCTGTGAGAGCGGTAACAGGTCTTGCTATTCTTTTGCCAATATCCAAACTGTAGTACCGATCTGAAATGAAGACACGTCAGAATTAAATTCCAGAAACTACATTCAGTACATGGAAAGAGTCTGGAAGCTAAAGCCTTCCTTTAGTTTCATTTAGGCATGAATTTTTCATTCTATGTACATATGTGGAGTTGAGAGCCTATACCAATTAGTTTTTGTCCTCAACTTTTATTTTTTCAGATGTCCTTCTTTGTGTTTAGCTAAGGTCTACAGCCCTGCTAATCATTAAATCTGTCCCAAGAACAGGGAGTAAGGTAGAATACTCTTGTACTGCTAGAACACAGAAATAGTCTTAAGAAGGTAGAAGTCAAACAAACTAGACACAAAACAATCGTGCACTGAGTACAAAAGTGGGGAGTCTGTGGTCCCCAAGTGGGAACTGGCAGACGTTAAGGTGAATTGGAGCATACTGGCAGTGACTGACTTTAGTATCCTTTATTTGGGTACCGCTAGTTCCTAGAGCTTTTTTTTTTTCTGAATTATCCAGAAAATTCTGAGGAATGCTTTTACATGACCCTGGCTAGAGGGAGAGGGTCTACCTAATCTGGAATCATAAATAATATTTTCCTGGGAAGCAAAATGGTTCCTGTCCCTTCTTTTTTGAGTGGTTGTTGTTTGGGGTTTTTTTTGTCAGAAACATAGTTCCATGGAAGCCAGTGAAGAAACTATCCATGTGTAGTGGTCCGAGGATTTCACTGTATCATTAATATACTGTGTCATTAATATACTGTGTCAGGTTTTTTTGTTGCTTTATGAGCCTGAACTTTTCTGCCAATGCATTCCACAACTGGCTACTTTGAATCATTGCACCACTTGCTGCTAGTTGTCCTGTAACTATTGATTTTTAATAGAAACATCTCTTGAGTACAGGCAACATTTTAATTCTCAGGAGTTTTTAGTAGTGCTTAAAATTAGTCTTGCAGAATCACAAGCGCTAACCTCATGCTTCAGAAAGCTGAGGGATACATGGGCTGCTTTCTTCCCCATCCCTTAGTCTTTTGAAATGTATAGTAACTTGCATTAGCTTTAACTTACTGTAAGAGAAGGCATAATAATCGTAGCCGTCTGGCTTATTGTAGTTGGGCAGTGATATAGTTGAATGAATTACTTTCGGGAGCCCTCTCCAGTAGGCTGTCACTTTGATTTCCTTACGCAAAACTCCTGCAAGCAAAAGAAAACTTAGGTTAGGAGCTGTCAGTGTGTTTGCTGCAAGCCATCTTTTGCTGCTATAATCTACAGCAAGCGAGATCTATTGGATAAAAAAAAATTAAAAGTGCTATATTTTAAAAAAAAAAAAAATTTGATCAGAATGTTGTGTTTCAGAAAAGACTAAGATTAAAGCGGTTGTACAAAAGAAACTTAATAAACGTAAGTTACCAGATGGATATGGGTTGATTCTGACGGTCTGAATAACGGTTGGCATTCTTACTGCACGTTGGAAGCGTCTTCTTATTACAAGTCTCGGGACGTACGCTGGGTATCGTACGGTAACCTGGGTTCTTCTCTGACACTTCTTGGCTGGTTCTTGTCTGTACACGTACTGCTGCATGTTGCCATCTAAAACAGACAGTTCCCTTTGCTTAAAAAACCCGAACAACCCACCAAACTTCCAGCTAGATCAGATATGAAAATGTCATCGATGTCCATATCGCACGATCGCCATATCTCCTGCAGGAAATCAACAGCGTTGTGTTAATACATCCACGGCTGTTGCAGCCTTCAGCTTTTCCTACCCGTGCCTACGTTTTGAGGCAAAAGCCTTGCTCTAAATCCAACAGCCCACAGCTCCGGGGGAGCTGCTGCTGCCGCTGCCACCCTTCCTGTTCCGAAG